AGCGTGTATCCAGCACTTGTCAGGTGATCACACGTCACGTGACCGCTCTCTAATGGAACGCTCTCTAATGGAACGGACGCGCTCTAATGGAATGGCTCGAGCTAGGTCTATTCGCGGTATACAGACACGAGTCACTGCGTACTAATATGAGTTATATGGAAAAACAACTTTTGAATACGATGAGTTCCATTATTTTCAATAATGCACATATTATATTGGATTCAAACAGTACGGTACACATTTTTTCTGGTTTAAAATCGGATAAAGCGTTGGGATTTAACTTTTTTTCTTATAGCTTTTAAACCGAGCACATTTAAGACCATTAAAGACCTGCCAAATCGTGAAATGAAATCTACCAGCTTTCTAGATACGAACATCATTGTCACTAAGCATCTGCTTTGAGCTAGGAATGCAGTAACAATATCATTCAATCCAATATTTTGCAAGCAAATGTGTGTAGACAAACGGATAAATCTGCTTATTCTATGGTATAACCCGATTGAATATAAAAATATGGCCCATGTTGCAATGGTTTGCAATTAGAGGTCTTATTTTATTCGAATTAACTCATGTAAAGACATATTATTTTACATATAGCGTGTCTTATTTCGTGGTCGTTTGAAGTAAAATACCGCGGAACAACACCTGTATTTGGGGTGAGTTTCTATTTTCAATGAAGGTCATTTTCAAACCATCACATTCTGTTCCGCATCATTTGTTGAACACACTGCATCGCCATAAACAGTTTAAAGACCGGTGGATTCGTAGTGGTTTTCGCATATCGTTGGTGGCGCTAGATTTACATAGCTAGTTGTTATCGTTCAGCAGTTTTCAAATCAAGTGAGATGATTTAGTTTTAAATCATAAACTAGAAAAATACAATAAGGCATTAGTATTATAGGTAGAATGCAGCAAACCTGAAATCACACGCAGGAAGATATATTGTGACGTCATTAGTGAATTGTTTTGGATAATAGTTCACAAATGTGCACAGCTCAGGATTAAGTAATGTTAAAATATTAATATGATTTTTTACGTCTTCGCTTTGATTTAATTAATATTTAATTCAGATATGTGCAATGCGAGTGGGTAAAGTCTTTTTTATACAATATGAAGTTTTAATTTGTAATGTTATTTGCTAATTACTGTGACTATAATTAGCAAGAATATGATTAATTATTAAGATTTTAAAAGTTTTACTCGAGTATAAAATAAACAATGCTGTATTCGTTAGTTTAATTCGTGTTTTATGGTAATAACAAGGAATCGATTAATAAATATAAAAGCCATGATACACGGTTCTACCTTTGTTAACAACAGACGTTGTATCTTTATTGGTCCCTTTATTCGATCATTGCATTTGTATCAGGATGCTTCGAGGCGCGTCATGGCGCCTGGAAAGCGCACGCGCGCAAGAGCGTGCGTTCCTTTCCTTCGGATTTTGAGATTCGCGCGCTTTTACAAAAACAGACGGGTTCCATTGTTCCAGGATTTGGGTTGGCATATTATTTTCAGTTCATGTCGTGGATATTTTTGACCTCTTTTTCATTATAAAATTATGACGAAGCAAGTCGAGGCTCCAATCCCCAACACAAGAAGACACTCAACGTTAAGAGCCACGCCTACTATATCACTGTCAAGTCCACAATATTCGAGTCACCATACTAGTGTGCGGTGCAAGCCAGGTGGCACAACGACTTTGGAGAGGGATGCGAAGAAATTGGGTGTATGTGGTGACTCGGCGCTCCGACACCAATGCGGGTCTTCTAGGCACCGCAACACATCTCCAAGCAAGCATCAATCCCTGAGCACGAAGCATGGGATACAGCATAGGAGAGAGAGTGTGCATCAGTCAGGTCATTCTCGAAGATCAGGCGATGCACGGGTCGAACACTTGTTGCACAGCAACCTTCTCCGATTGGCCTCTAACATGTGGTCGAAGTGGTCAAAACACAGACAACATACGGAATGGGAAAACAACGCCGTCCAAAAACGAATGGTAAAGGTCAGTGTCAAATGCTGGTATATTTTTCACATATTTCAGCGAGGTTATGTTATTAAGATGGACATATTCTGTTGGGAAATGTGTCGGTGTTAAAAACAAACAAAACAAATTCCAGATGTTCACACATGCGTATGTATTTTAGAAAAAGGACACAACTTCCGAAAAAATTGACGAAAAATGTTATACAGGAAGTTCCATGACGGGCACGATTTAACTATTTTGCACGCATCACATGAACCGACTGTCATTTCTCTGTAGGGCGCCGCGATACGTCGTCATTTTCCTTCAGTGAGACAACGTTTTAAAAATCCCTCTATAGTCGTAACTTTGTAAACGTTTTTTAAATACAATGTGATATATGACTCAATGCCGATATCTCTACGGGGTGAATTAGGTTGTTTATATAACACGAAACTCGTGGTTTATCAAAAACTGCTGTTGCACAACAAATGTTGCGGACACTGTAACACATATACTATGAAATATGTCTGCAACTTTTGTCTGCAACTGCAACTTATTGCCCACCTTCAGTGCAGATGATACTAGTATTCTGGAAGAATGGTTGCAACAAAATAAACAAAAACTAAAAAAAAAAAAGAACGCTTAGAACGAAATCCCGCGTTGTAAGCATTGAACCAAAAATATTGAAGTCATGAAGTTAAGGAATTTAATTCAAACTATAGTGAATAGGCGAACAAGGGAAAATATTGTTTTGAACAAATTACTCATATCTTGTCAAATATTTCAGGATATTTTGAATAATTAGTTGGTTGCACATTGGTTGAGATACAAACAAATACTGCCTTGAAATATGGTTCACTGTAAACTAAATATATTGTACTTGCAGCATACCAAATAGTATTTCTTGGGAGATAAATGTAATACAATGATACAGCACGTGCACCGACTTTTATTGTACGTACTAGACATGTCCATTGTTTCATTGAACAAACAGTAAGTTAATAATGAATCCTGATTCATGTATTCATCGACATACAGTAACAAACAGCAATATGAAAACTGTTTTCATCCATATCTTTAAAGATGAAAGCGGATGACACGCTTTCATGCACTGGAATTTCAAAATTCTAATGTATGTTGACATTCGTTGTATACGTGGCGTGAAACCCGTATTTGAACATGACGCGGCACAACGACATATTCATTATCAAGTTTTCGTCGTCGCAATTGATACAACTACACAGCTCAGGGGTCAACAGGTTTACGGGGGGGGGCATGGCAGCATTTCAAACTAGCGAAAACAACTGAGGGTACAAGCTAAAATTGCTGGGTTATTAGCCGAAGGCAGTGAGCGATAGTGTGGTATTGTATTATGATAAACCAAAGGACCTGACTTAATTGAATGGTGTCTTAGTATATATCCAATGGACGGTAAAATCGATTCCTTAAGGGAAGAAAACTCAATTTATAGTTTCATTCATGCCCGCCGCGCGATCGGGTGATATATGCAATGGTTATATTAGGTTATAAAGTACTGTGCAGTGAGTGGGATAACTTGTTTCGTCCTCATAATCGTCTTCTAGCAATATATGAACTTATTTACTCTACGCCCAATCTATCGGAGTTTTACGCGTATTTGATAACGAAATCATACATACAATGTGACTTAAAATAACAGTGGACGGTAAATAATCTTAACGTCAATAACAACAGATTCATATCACATTCGGAAATCGTACAAGCTATATCGTTGCCCATCTGGTACCGAGACGTTGACGCTCACCGCAACCGTCATTTCAAGAGATCGTCTGAACGTTGCGATGTGAGACACCACAGATCGTAAACGTAAAAATCAAGACCTCAGATTTTAAAGTTCACGGAGTGGAAAAACATTTATGCCAGTATTTTTTCCTGGATCATAAGTTATGTTTGATTTCCCGGTTGATTAGCGCAAATATTCATTTGACACCTCACAATCGACGCGACTGCTCGGGGCTATTCATTGCCCTGTGAACTCACCTGACTGTAGATAATACTATTAACTTCGGTGATGTACAGACAATATAAAAAACATTGCTAATCAACCAGAACTAACTATTTTTCTCTCGCAAACTGAGTTGCTATGGACAACAAGCCAAAGTAACAACATTTCTAAACGCGTCACCAATGAAGTTCGATAAGACCGTAGAGGATGAGTATCATTTGTGGTCGTGAACACTTCCCGACATGAGTGACTGCGGCAACGGCGTCCTAAAACAGTTCAGATTTCCAAGACTTACATCGGAGCTACGGGCGAACTGCCTCAGTGCGGACCCGTTTATGTTAGCCGGAAGTGTCGTCGATGACGAAGTTGGTAACAGTCCAGTCAACGGTATTAATGATGCAAGTTGGTGCATTGGTGACAGTGAGCATGATGAATTGTGGACACAGCGAAAAGTAAGTTTGTTTATGAGTCGGGTGACAACAACTCGGCCATTCTTTCATTTCAAATCAGATAATACATCTCATGTGTCTGCTACCTTGGCTTGGCATGTGATTTGAAACTGTGTGCGGCGTTACTATCATGATTTATATTTCAGTCAGTTTGACAGTGGTTGTCATGACATATACTGATAAAGGTTAATGACAAGACCAGATGGCGAGCTGGTCGAAATCAACCAAAAACATCTTATGACTCTGCAGTTTTTAAGATACAAGACAGTAGCTGTAATTCTAAACCAATGTTGTTTGCGAGTTTAAAAAAGGTAGTATCTTGGTGGAATGTTAGTGCGAGATTATTACCCCATCAATATTAGTTAGTGTTGACAATGTATAGAAATGTTTTCTCTAGACAGCTTGACGAGTAATTAATTGATTATGATGTGTAAAACTTTCATGTGATTGGTTGTTTGTTGGAAGGAAAGGCCTTGGAGTCTCTTATACTGATTGTAATTGGTTAAGGGGTGACAAGAAATAAAGATGGATTTAATGCTGTCTCGGGTGAAAACCAGGGACTTGGCAGAGAATCGTCTTGGGAACATGAACGAAGCTTGTGTGTGTCTTTTGTCAGCCTAGCGTGGAAACGACCGAATCCCGGTTACCTAAGTGAAAGGGTTTTAACCATCAAAAATACCTATCACATTACTCCCAATCTATACAACAGTGGTCTCTGATCTAGAATGCGATACAACATTCACGTATTTCGATTGAGCGTGAACAAAGTGAATGAACTCCTATTCTGATCCAAAACATCCAGAATAATAGACAATATTTGTAATTCTAAATGGATGAAAGCTGTGTTTGGTTGTGATGGTCGTTGGTCATTTGGTATATAGTAAATCTCTCAAAATTATTATTTTTGTTTTTGACAAAATAATATAGACAACGTGAACATCATTCATTTACGCCACGGAAAAGCAACGTTGCCAGAGAAGAAGCTTATAGGAGAGATATGGCTTTGGAACACGTTCAAAATGTTGAAAAATTAGATAATTTGGAACATTTGTTTCTTTTTTGATAGTGCATGATGTTGACATGTACACTAGAGTATATGCGATCGTAAAACACGTAGTTTTAGCCGCACAGTGATTTGTTCAAGGAAAAAGAACAACACGCCTGCTCATGCGCTGTTGAATACTGGTACGCACTTGTTTGGTGCACAAAAACAAGTGTATTGGGTGAGACGAGCTTGTAATATTTGTATTCAAAGAAATTTCAATAATAATAATATTTGTATTCAACGTTGATTTCAACACAGCTTACTCAATAAATATCGTCTGTAATATGAATCGAAAACTTTCGAAAAGCAACAAAGTCGCTCAGCGACCCCTCCTCAAAGGTTCAACTGATTCAAAATAGAAACCCTTCTCCACTCGGTCAGAACGGAAAACATTCAAACAGTCAATTAAGGTCAGTATCGTTGTGACATCCGGCGATCTTGTTTAAATACCAATGTATGTTCATTATATATTTTGAAGGTAAACGAAACGCCTTGTTTATTCCGAGGGGGTGGCTGCCGTAGGGAAAAGGTGTTATATTCCTAGCATAGCACACGACTTTATTTCAAGGTTTTCCCTTGCACGCAGTGAAATTAGCCTACTGACGTCATCACAACGTTGGCATACCACCAGTCGCATATATTGCGTTATTCGTAGGACAGTAAATATGATTGCAGGTGTACGCCATGATAAACGCAGGCAATGCACCCAGCAAGTTGACAGACAAGACAAGGTATTCCGAACGGACTCTAGGTGAGTTTTTATATAACAGAAGGAACTGTTCACAGGACAGACAACTTGGATATATTAGCATAGTATGGTCCGCTCTGTGTGTCGTAGCACGGTATCACTGCAATGGCCCGGGGCATGAAACTTCTTGAAGATATTGAGGAACGTGTTTTATGGATGCATTTTCGTCTGATGGAGCATGTACGAAGAAAATCTGTATGCGTCACAAGTCATGTATAGAACAACATACACCTGCTTTGCATCCCGTCATTCATTCATTTATTTGTTTGTTTGCTGTTTGTGAATCAGTGACGATATAACGAATGTCTCGTGTATTCGTGGCTGCCTAATTCAAGAAAACGGGACAAGTTGTGCAGATCAGCAATCAGTTACGTCTAAAAAGTTGTGTTGTTGTTTTTTTGTAATGAGGGAAATTTTTTTATCTCCCTTTTCTGGTCTCGTCTTGGCGTCTAGGAGCCATGTAGCCCACGTAGCAGTTCAATTCCACAATCCATATTTACCGTATTTGTGTATATATCGTTTGTTTGTTTTCTACGACGTTTTCAGCTTACAGGGACACAGTTTGTTTGTGTGTGGAGAGAGGTGTTTTGGGGGGGGGTATCACTCGTCAATTTCAACGTATCTTTGAGTGTGGTTTTGTTCAAAATGAACATAAATGAACTAAATAAATGAACAAATAAATAAATAAATAGACCGACCGACAGACAGACAGACAGACATTGAAATAACCGTTCCAAGTAAATAAACATGTAGCTAATTTTAATTTACGTGTGATCACTGGCGCGTGCGTAAAAAGCTTTGAATTTTAAAACATTGCCGAATGTCTCACTTCGTGTCAAGTATAAGCTCACATGCTACCATACAATACATAGGAGATTTATAATACGCTGATAAAACAGTTTGTGGAATGTATAAATCTCGCCAAACTCATACGCCGATGTCAGTGGATTTGAGTTTATTATAATCGTGAAAGTTTGTTTGTTTGCGTTGGCCCTGAATGCACCCTCACTATGGCCCGTGTAATCAACCACAATGAACTACCAACGATAACACCATGTGGAATGAGACTACGACAAGTTTCATTACAATCGACCCAGCTACGGAACTTGTTAGTTAATTTCATTTGCATCAAAAGACGGTGGCCTGCTGTCTCTGGGAGATATTCTAAAACGCGGAAATGATAAGGTAAATTTTTGTACGTAGCATCTCTACAGACCTATGTATACATTAAGTAAGATAAGCATACTGATCATATCACCACGTCGCACAGTATGGACAATTGTTATTTCCCATTGGAAGTGTTTTGTTACGTCATCGAGCGAACAGTAATGTCCCTTACCGCATAAGCGCTCTAACTTTATATTCGGTGAACAATTGTACCATCCACCCAAGGTTTGGGACATCGCGGAATATTTGTTTGTGAAGTGTAAGCGTCATGGACTGCGTCAAGTGCACCGGACACCTTGTAGACGATTTGAGAGCCAAACACTTTGACGGAAGGGATATTTTGTGTTCTAGGGTGGGTAACATTTTTCATGAAAAACGTTTTTTTTTTTTGGTGTTTAAGTTCGCCAATACTCATCGTCTAGTTAATTTCTCATATATTTGATCACACTTAGGCTGCCTTCCACACATATATGCTATTGTAAATCCAGTCCCACTTTACACTCAGACGTGGGTAATATCGGCAGAAAGTGACCCGCACAAGGGGAGTCACAGAATTCTCGAAAAAAGCAAGACAACAATTCTGGCCAGCTCTCGGAAAAATACTAGTAGTCGACGCCGCCTTTAGTATTATATTTATTATATTTCCCGTGTTACTTTGAAAGGATACCGCGCTAGAAAAACGTTCACTGGACCATGAACTATGTGCAAACTATTATCTCAGTCTTCTCTATGACTAATAATGTCCGCCATCATGTATTATTAAGACGGACAAACCGTAAAGACACGAATTTCGACTTTCTTCTACCTCGAGTGCGCGTTACTTGTATAAGGTATTCTTCAGGTGATTTTCTTTCACCAATGTTTCATCAAAACTGTTAAAGCTGGAGTCGTCACCTGCGCATGCGGCAGATGGCCATAACGCGTCGTTGTTTACAAACAAGTGTCTACCCACGAGTCTTTGCGTTTTTGGCATGCGTTGTTATCGTTGCTTAGGACTTATTCCCAACGCGTGCGCAGGTGCCGACCCCATCGGCTGTTGACTATACTAACTTGAATATGATATCGGATGTGATATCGGATGGTACATAAATACTCTGGACTATGCCATATACATGTTCAGTTTAGGGTTAAACTTTGTGGTTACAAATTACCTAATTTGCATAAACTAACCATTTTATAGGTGCTCCACAAATTACTTTTTGGTTGAAATTCTTGCATACTAATTACCTACTTAGTATAAATAGTCATGTGTCATAACTGTAATGTACTAAACACTGCTGCATATAGGGACATGCAACCAGTGCTAGTATATTGAGGCGACTGGCAATGTATCAGATGACTATATATGGTAATGTGACCTCAATAATATGCATAACTGTAATGTACTAAACACTGCTGCAGATAGGGACATGCAACCAGTGCTATTATATTGAGGCAACTGGCAATGTGATATGAATAATGTATCAGATGACGATATATTATCATTATGTCATTAAATATTTATAATTATTAAACCAGTTATATTTTGTAATGATGTATTTGCTCTATTAGAAGCACATATAAATAACAAAGACAAGTCTATGGTCAAAATAAGACATATTTCAATGATTTTGCTTAATGTGTATTGAAGATGTGCTTCTAATATAGTAATAAATACAGTAGTCTTTATTTGTATGCCTCTAATGCCTTCAGCATACGGGAGTTCTGATTGACAGTGAATCAAAAACCGAACCGAAACTTTTTTGACTAATGCTAAAATGATTGAATGTAGACAGATTTTGACACGGAGTATTATCAGTGTTATAAGCGTTAAGATATGCGTACATGTAACAAACATGTAACAGTATTATTCAACCTTAAATGCTATTTTACCACATACTTAAAATAACATTAAACAATGCCATTGACATACATAAAATGAAAAAAATGTGCGGTATGAACACCTTGTTTTAACATTTAGTTTATGTGATGAACGCATTTCCCCAAAATCTACAACATATTCTCCAACGGCGAACTGTGTGAATTATTAATATAAATTCTACATATTTATTAATTTTTCGAAAAGATTATTAGGTCAAGTTCAATATTTCACTGTTATGTATTCTTATATAGATGCTTATTAACATATATATACATTAGATGCAGTCACGGGAACTTGATGCAGCAAGAAAATATACAATTGTGTCACTTATTATATTATAGACATTTCATTATTCCACGAATAGAGGTATTGTAATGTTTGGTGGTAACTGTGAAATGCAAGTGCGCTCTATCAAATCATTAGGCAATACTTTTGTTTTTAAGTACGTGATCTGGGTCGACAGCCTCTAGAGGGCTACCTGCCGTATGTGTGTGTGTGTCTATAGAACATGGATTTAGTGTTTCCCCGTAGCGTTGCACCAGCAAAGGGGCAGTCATTTGATGAATAAACTTTAAGCTTTGGAGCTTTAAGTTGAAATCAAGGCTTGTTGGTTTTCACATGGCACATTTCAGAAACTGTTGAGACTACTTCCAAGTAATTCCACTCCCATCCCTGTTACGATGACATGATCCATGATGATAGCGGGTGTCAACTTGTACTGGGACTCCGTTGTACGCCAGCTTTAGCCAAAGAGGTTTGAAAACGCGGATACAGTATACTAACCTGATAGTAATTGCGTATTTATTTGATGACCTTAGCTCTAAATTATACTTCAAAGCGAAATAAAAATCGCGTATCGCTTGTTATTGCCAGACAACCTAACCGAACTACAAACATGTACAATTCATGGGGAGTAAATCAATTATGTGTTGTTCGACAGTCACTTAAGATTGCAATCAGCATGTGTGTTTTTAAAAAATTGCCGATATCACGGTGATCGTACAGGCTAAAGTATCATGGCGCAGACCAGGGTAAAGCTAACTGCTTGGTAAACCTACAAATAACCGCTTCTACATGTTATCTTTATTGAAATATTTTTGTGTTGTCATGTCATTACTTTTTAAAACCTACTATTGCAATTAATGCATTGATACTCAATACAAACGCAATGGACACAAAGTCAGCGCGTTTTAGACTTTCCTTTAGACAGCAATTGACATTCACTGTGGTATGACGCATGGTACACTCAGTATCATTGTAATATACCGGTACATGGTCAAGGAGCTCAGGCTAGCACATGTGTTGTTATGACGACGCTGGAGTGCGTGGGATTAGCTGCAAGTAGAGTTAATACACTGCACTGTCAACCTATGGACCTTGCGTGTCAACCAGCGCCCAGTGATAAACAAATACTCAAAATACAATGTAGTTATGGAATTGTTCGCGAGCGTATCAGAGCGCAGTCACTGTATTGAACTCGTTCTTACCATTGCTATGATTATATTACTAGTATAGATTTCATACCACAATTTGAATTGTTATCAAGGCGCGGGGTTACGTAATCTCTTTATTTTGAAAACAACTTTTTGCAAGGGGTGGCATGCTTGTACTTCAAACTGTTCTATTTATATGATACAAGAATAAGCAGCCGGGGCTTTAGATTTGTGATCGATTTTGGTGAAAACCGACCAGTTTTAGTGAAAACCGACCATTTTTGAAATAGCGGACTGATACGTTTAGAGTGAAAATCCAGCCTACCTGTGATGATGTTCAGTGATTACTATTTTATTTAAAAAATAATAATAATAAAAACAAAACAGGCAAACAACTCTTTTTAATATTTAATTAATCGTCGTCTTCAATCATCATTGTCGTCATCCCCAGCATCATTATACCTCGGTATGATGGAAATCTAATTTAATTAAACTAATATTAAGATAGTCCTAGGACCCAAATATCTTTTCCGATGTTCATATTAACACTCTTGTGGAGATATCAAGAACTGTTTGGAGAATTTGTATGTCAACATTACGTTAATGAAAATAAGTAAATGTTGATGACAGACGTTCACAATAAATACGTCGCTAGTGTACGTGGCGACGAAAATATGGCGTAATTTACAGTCTGTTTAACACGTCGCTGCGTTTTCTGAACTATCAGCCCTCGTGACAGATGTGTTGACTTCAACGTACATGTTGACACACTAACATTGCCGGAGATGTCGTTGTTAAAAGTCGATTCCCGATTCCAATGAGAACTGAACACGCTGCGCATTGTATAAATGGGTGATAGGCAGTGTTGGCCGCCGCGGTAAGACTTGAGTAGACTGGAGGACATGGTCGGTGACCCTCAAGAGCACACGCTTAACTACCTTGATTTGTTTGGTTAGCTAATCCCCCATGAGTGGCACAAAACATCGTCTCTCAGGGCTACTGTTCGGATAGCAGTATCGTTCGTAAAACGACCCAGTTTGTTGAAGTTATATAATAGTGAAGAAGGGGATGTATCGATGGCTTACTTAAAAGAAGCCTGACTTTTTGACATTGGTGTTATGCGTATAGACTCTGACAACCCTGTGGTTGCTATTGACGATGATTGTATGGTGCGTTGACAGTATACCAGAGCCCGAACGACAATACGCTGTAGTGTGACTGGAGGCAAGAAAGATCAGGGAAATTCTAATGACAATGTGACTACGACAAACTGGTGGAGTATATCACTTGAGTGCTGAAACAAAATGTTTCACCCACAGTTTGTTGCGGAAATACGACAGAGCAAGAAGCAATTGTCGCGTTTCCTAATAACGGTTACACCTTGATATTGCGTCAGTGGTCAATGAATAAGCGTATAATAATTATAGAGTATAAACCCACCTGTGTACGGGATCTAGGCAAATTAGTCCACAGTGATGGCAATTCGTTTTGGTGAATAACGCTTGTTTTATCGCCCTTTGCCTTGGACCGATGTAAATCGGACCGTATTGTAAAACAGACTTGTTGTCAAATATCTCTTAATATAATAGAGGAGGATTTATGGGTGCCGTTATCAGTGGCGATGACAGCGCCTAAACACGTGATAAATTGCTTCTGTATCAGACGGATCAATACTAAAGACAAAAAAACAAGTGCAACTGTAAATGTGCATGTAGTTTTACGTGGAATTAAAAATACCATAACACAACACTGAAGAAACAGCCTAAAATAAATGTTTACGCGAGGTGGTGAATTCTAAAAATGTATTTGGGTATGCCGAGGGTTTTGTTCACCAGTCTCAAGTTAATGACCCTTCTCCCCCAACGAGTAGTGCTGAGAGGGCGCGCTGCTTTTCGATGTCTTTCTGTTATGGCAACTGAACATATGTTTGACGAAAATTTTTATTAAATTGTGAATAAAGCTATGATAAAAAAGATATAATCTTTATTAAGATATGATAAAATCTCAGGAACGCAAGTCATCTATCTCAGTAGTTTCACGTACAGTTATTGACCAACCAAATCAGCCACTGAGGAATCGTCTTTATAGTAAGCCTAACTTTGTTAGTAGAACAGACAAGGACCAACACTTTGCAATAGAGGTGGATGATAGAACAATCGACCACACATATTCAACATATTGGACTTTCGAAACAATCACACCATATGATGCATGAAAGGCGGTCAGAGTCAATGTAACAAAATTATTGTAAATGATAACATCAAACCGTTAAATCTAAGACATGCTCCAGTCTGTATGTGTACTGAAAACAGAATGTTGCTGATATATGTGCTTGAACAGATGCCACCGCGGTTTCAAATAACCCATTCAGCTCTTGTCAGGGCCCAGTGTTTCCCATCGTACTTACGATAAGGATTCTTCGCCAACTACCACACGCCCCCACTTCCCACGATTTAGATCGCGTTTTCTATAACTAACAGTTTGTAGTTGGGTGCCATATTCTCACATCTACTAATCACCCCCACGTGGTAGATACATAATCTGTAGTATCACTGCTTAGGCTCTAGGTCACATGCTTGTTTTCCACGCTGTCGTTATGGTGTGTTCTAGTCATCCTGTCGTTGCCTGCTACTCGTTTCGCTGTGCGCTGATAACAAGAACGTTCCCTATGTGACAACTAATATCTATGATCTAATATGACTCTTACCTTCCTACTTCTTCCAGGCACCGTCTCCGGAGTTGCCCCGGCATTCAAGAAAGCCGAAGCTTGGGGTAAGTATCCTAATTACAAGCACATTAAATCGATTTTTGCGTAAAACACGTTTCATTTAGACCCGTCTTTACGTAAATGCACTCTCTGTCGTAAACCATCAAAAAAGGAATTTACGAGAAACTATGCGATTGGTTGATTGTCGTGGGATTCAAAGACCACACTGTATTATGTACACATTTTACACGGTGATAATTTCGATACTTAAAATGTTATTAACTATACTTCTCTTTCCCACACTTTTCTGAATATTTAATACCTGTTACATCAAGGCTCAGACAACTAGCTGTCTGAGATCTAGGTGCAAACAAATATCAGAAAGTCTGCAAATTGAAGATGTTATGTACCGTAGAAATATTACTTCAGTGTACCGAATAGTGATTTAGTTTCGCTGAATTTGACCATGAATGTCAGAAATCCAAACGCAGCAAATAAATATTATCTTTACTCTAAAACACGTTTTCATTTTCCTTTCAGCCAAAAGAACGCTTCCTCAAAGCTGCTCGCCAGGTGCGCATGTTATGCGCCGTTACGATCAGCATTCGTCAGTACGCAACGGAAGCCGGCGTCTCTCTCTTCTCCACTCTTCCCGATCTAGCACAGTCAATGAGCAAACTCCCAAACGTCAAAACAGACACTGAAAATGGAGGAACGCAGATTGCATTTGACCCCAGGGCTTTCAAAAGTAATTATGAGGTAAGTACTTTTTTCGAAAAAATAAAACGTCTTGCAATGAAACCTCATTGATTATTTACTGAGCTTCAATTTTACTATTTTCGCGGTAGTGTGAAATCCACCAAAATTAGTCTACTTGAAGAGGTATCATTGCACTGAAAAAACAGTGAGAACAATGACCAAACAACATACTTAACTGTAGATCATTGAACAAAAGTCACATAATGACAAAATATTTGAAATTTTGACATGAAATGAACAAATCTGAGAATCCAAGGTACTTGCATATCAAATTTGACTTGCGGTTTCGAAGAAGAAGTTAAAATTGTAAAGTTGACAACGATGGACAATCTGTAATATGAGCAGCTCCGCTGTGTCGACTTTGTCTAAAGGTGATATCATGTGTAGGAACCAATTACTCAAAACAGGTCAAAAAGTCGTTTTGTGAAAAAAAAAATAGTTTGGTGACCATATATTTTTATTTCAGAATTTTTGAACATTCCATTAACCCAACCCCTCTTGCTGGATGTTAGTTATGTACGTATATATTATTGAATGACAATATACATCTATGTCATTCTCTTACCCACTTCAAATGTTGCTGCAATCAAAGTCACGTGTATCTCTGGCGATTTGTTCGATCATATGTTTATTTCACTGTCAATCTCGCCACTGATGCTGTTATTTTTATTATCAATGTTGATTCCGATAGCGAAATTGACATATAATCAACCCGACTTTCGCTTTAAATCGAACAATAGAATGATATTCCAGGCAGTTTCATGCGTTCCAACGTCCACTCCAAGTGATATTGTTTCGTCCCAACCTATATGTTGATTATAGCATGGACAAACTGCGATCTTATTCAAGTTGGTGGAAACGGGCGAAAGAAGATAATGTCCCTTTAAAAACTAGTGAATGAACTGAGAAATATGCGCGTTTCCACATACTGTCACAACGTTTACATATCAACATAGTCTTGCTCATGATGAGCCAATGTTTCTCGAGTGTACATGTCATTTGAGACGAAATTGATATGTTACATATAAGATATATATATTTCTAAATCAGATGTCTATGTCGTTTCGATCCCATTATTTCTTCTAGTTCACTATTCCAACAAAAGTTGAGAAAATTTTGGAGAAAAATCCAGAAGAACGCACAGTTGAAGACGTCAATAGCATTGCCAACCTGATGAGGGGTCTGCACAGTTTCCGGAAATATACAAAAGCAATACAACTGTTATTATGTAAAGTAGTACGATTGGAAAGGTAAGCAGTTATTTCGATACTGACGCCGAACAATAGCTAACTTTATACACCCACTAGTATCCAGCCATTCCGAGGGCACTTTATTATTCGTAGATTTTTCAAATTCTTACAATCTTCTAGTCTACACACCCAGGACCTACTATTTATAGTATTTCCGTGATACACATTACTAAAACTGTTTGAATATCGGGGAGGGGGATAAAAACTGGGCATGCCTTTAATAGTGTAACCATATTGTTCATCGTCAGCTCACACAGTTTTGTATTCGTTTATTCCCCTCAATGTGTGAAGACAGTAAGCTGGAACAATATACTAGTACCTTGACAATTCAAGATGAAAATGTCAGAAATCTATTCAGATTTCTCCGTGATTGAAGTCAGCTTGTTTGTGTTATTATGCTGTCAGTAAATTTGTACCAGGAATGGATCTGTAGATATCGTACACACGTTTCCTACATAATCTCAAATATAATTGGACAAACATAACAGTAAATCTAATAATATTATCCGAGTAAAACCTTAATATTGTCACCGAAGCCCGGGATTCGATTTCGTAATTCATTATTAGAGAGAAATTCCTGTTAACTAATTTCACAGGCAAACATATACTAAATATAACACAGACACACTATACAGCCAAGGCATTTTAACAAGCAGATACACTATAAAACAAAATATTAATGCGCAGAAAACTCACTAAATTTAAAAATGTAACCAATAATTATGTGACTTCTTCAGCACATGTCACCGAGCAGAATTTGAAGATACGAAGAATACATGTTTTGGCATCTTCTCAGACATTCCAAACTCTCCAAAAATTCACGGCGTTGATTTTATTATTTCATCTTGAATTACAGACGACACTAAACACAGTCGCCGTTTTGAACAATATTCAAAGTTACTTTCTTCCACCTACGTGATTTTGACGTCTTAGAAGTGTGTCATGAATTAGTTTTCGCGTATCTGTTGACCGACTTAATTAGTTGATTATTAGCTGAATTGTTGTGTTATGTCTGTCATCGTTTAGGCCTATTTGAAGTTTTGGACGGAACTTGGCTCAGTGATTTGGAACTAATTACGAGATAACCGTCGCTATTCAGACTACTCATTCTGACAGTTAGTATTCGTAGTTATTAATGTAGTGAACGATTAATCAAAAGATATGACGTATTCAGTACTTAGTGTGATTGGCTTTATGATTGAAGGTTACGCCCTAGAGTCTTTTTACTGTTTTGTAATTGGTTAGAGTTTTGAAAATGAATAAAGAGGAGTTTGAGTTGGTCTTGGCGAATACTCCACGAGAGACGCAGTCGAGTCCAGTCCTGGAGAGCCTTGGGGCGAGTGTTGACGCAGTCTAAAAGAGTCTTGGGTTAGCCTTGCGATAGTCTTGGGGATTTTTCCCCAGGGCGCTGTGTCTTATAGAGTGCTCGATTGACCGACTAAGACGAGAGCTGAAACGTATTTCGTTGTGTGTGTCTTATTTGACTGTAAAGTATAAGTGACTTTCCCGATCCCGCACCTCGAGGGGACGCGATATAGAGACGAGACGGGATTCCCCCCTGACACGTGTGGAGAACCCAGAGAGAAGAATTCACCCCTGATAAGAGCATTTAAAACACTGTATTGTACTTATATGTTTTTTTATATCTTACAGATACGGTCGGCGGCGAGTTGTAGTTCGTAAAGGGCATCGAGGCCGTGGATTTTATTTTATATTTTCAGGCACCGCATGTGTGACACTAGACGAAGACGACGAGAGTGTGTTCGTTAAGAAAGAAGTTTCGGTTTTGAAGAAAGGAGCTTCATTTGGGGTAAGAAGTTTTCTCTACTGACGGAGGTCTAATTGTATGCGTATTCTGATGAACCTATTTCAACAACTTGCCAAATACTAGTATCACACATTTTCGGTTGGAAACAGTGCGTTGTTTCTCTACTCCAATGAAGCACAGTCAGCTCACGCACAAGTTACAATAAATAAATGATAACCGATATTTACTATATGGGACAGCCATCTTGAATACGGCTCGAAACTAAATAGTTAATTGACTGTGAGACCTAGAGTTATTGGGGAACCAGAATTGTAAATTACAGACTATAAATGGGAGTGTGTACAAATCTTTTGCTATCTGAGCAGTCGTTGTCTTGGCGTGGCTTGTTAGCTGTGTGTATATCTGGTAGCATCGAATACAAACACAACGTTCAATACCATCAATGAGGTCTGTTTGACAAACCTCGTTGACGGTGGTGAACGTCACTTACATAAAACCACGGTAAATTGCAATTGACCTCACTGTGATGACGCATGGGTTGTGGAATACGGGAAAAGAGACCGGAGCTCCTCTATAGAAACACCGTTAGTACCTTCCATGATAGAAACGAAACAACTTTGACCTAATTGAAATTCAAAACGGAGTGTCTCGTGCCACGCCTGTGGCAGGAGACAATATGGCTATTGCCACGTCCCGGAAATAAACGTACCGACGTTCTATGTGTATTTTCGGCCGTCATATACAGATTTTTCACTTGTTTTAACATTGGCAGGAATAATTTCAATTCGCGCATTTTATACGAAAATGCGAAGTCCAACCATTGACGGAACCTTTGTACGCCCTCCGGTGTTGGGAACTTGGAACACTACGTTTACCTAAAGCCAACCTCGGCGTTTATCAATCTAATAAAACTCGCGAATCACCGTCGGCGTTTTGATAAAATACTGTTACAATGGTTTCATTGTCGTGTACGGTAGAAATAATTTTAGTTCGCGCATTTTATACCAGCCATTGTCGGAACCTCTGTACGGCCTCCGGTGTTGGGAACTTGGAACACTACGTTTACCTGAAGCCAACCTTGGCGTTTATCAATCTAATAAAACTCGCAAATCACGGCGTCGTTATATAACGAAAATACACTATTAAAATTATTAAAATAATTTTCTTCAGGAAATTCGTTACTTGGTTTCTCTGAAAATCATTACATAGCCTTGTAATTTAACATGCACTAGTTCAATTTTCCCATTTAGGCGGGGACATTGATATCCTTATCTGATCATCTT